TTGACCCACCTCCTAGAGTAATGGAAATAAAAACAAAAATAAACAAATGGGACCTAATGAAACTTTAAAGCTTTTGCACAGCAAAGGAAACCATAAACAAGATGAAAAGACAACCCTCAGAATGGGAGAAAATATTTGCAAATGAATCATCAGACAAAGGATTAATCTCCAAAATATATAAACAGCTCATGCAGCTCAATATTAAAAAAACAAACAACCCAATCAAAAAATGGACAGAAGACCTAAATAGACATTTCTCCAAATAAGACATACAGATGGCCAAGAGGTACATGAAAAGCTGCTCAACATCACTAATTTTTAGAGAAATGCAAATCAAAACTACAATGAGGTATCACCTCACACCAGTTAGAATGGGCATCCTCAGAAAATCTACAAACAACAAATGCTGGAGAGGGTGTGGAGAAAAGGGAACCCTCTTGCCCTGTTGGTGGGAATGTAAATTGATACAGACACTATGGAGAACAGTATAGAGGTTCTCTAAAATACTAAAAATAGAATTACCATATGACCCAGCAACCCCACTACTGGGCATATACCCAGAGAAAACCATGATTCAAAAAGACATATGCACCCCAATGTTCATTGCAGCACTATTTACAATAGCCAGGTCATGGAAGAACCCTAAATGCCCATCAACAGATGAATGGATAAAGAAGATGTGGTACATATATACAATGGAATATTACTCAGCCGTAAGAAGGAATGAAACTGGGTCATTCGCAGAGACGTGGATGGACCTAGAGACTGTCATACAGAGTGAAGTAAGTCAGAAAGAGAAAAACAAATATGGTATGTTAATGCATATATGTGGAATCTAGAAAAATGAACCAGTTTGCAGAGCAGAAATAGAGACACAGATGTAGAGAACAAATGTATGGACACCAAGGGGGGAAAGTGTCAGGGTGGGGGGCGGAGTGTGGTGGTGGTGGGATGAATTGGAGGATTGGGACTGACATATATACACTAACATGTATAAAATAGATAACTAATAAGAACCTGCTGTACAAAAAATAATAAAATGTTAAAAATAATAAAAATAACAATGATAAACCCATTGCATGCAGATACAAATCACAAATTTAATGAAAAATAGCTGCATTTACCAAAAAAAAAATGAGTGATGACGGCATTGTTTTAAATTTTTGCAAATCTCTTTCACGTCTGGCTTGTTGTATCTGTTTCCGCGTTCCAATTATTGCAAAATGTTATTTGCGTTGAAGCATGGGAGGGAAATGTGGCCTCACACAGTTATGTGGTTAGAAAGGGGAGAGAGTCCCGATACTCGTCACCTAATTACGGATAGTGTCATTGTCACCTGGCCAGAGCTCAGCGTGGTCAAGGTGGATGCAGTCGACTTTTGGAACTTTGTAACGTTGGAGTCCAGTCGGATTGAGCTGCCGTTGTAGCAGATAACATTGTCCCGATACCGACACTGGTGTCAGAAGCGGGGTGCCACTGCTGGTGGAAAGAAAAAGGAAGAAGAAAATTACGAAGTGTGGCTGGGCCCAGCAGCCAGACAGCAGGCAGCGCGGAAGACGCTATCAGACACACTCACACCATACACTGGCAAAAACATCAAGTTCAACGTCTCCCGTGATGATTCAGAAGGTCACCCATACTCCTCCTGAGCTTGTAGACCGAGGGGAATATGGAAGACGGAACACGAACACTGGCTACGTTTAGCCAAGAATTAGGAGCAGGAGACAGGCACAGGCAACCTGGACCCATTTTCAAGCAAAAGGGAAAGGGAACCATGTAACTGTCCAGAAATTTGGGACCTTATAGATTAAGAAAATCCATTTGCTTCTAGACACCATGTAATAGGAAACAAGCCTGACCAAGGTTGTGAGCGGCAAAGACCCATTGACACTCAGGTGGGGGGCTTCCCTGGTGGCGCAGTGGTTAAGAATCCGCCTGCCAATTCAGGGGACACGGGTTCGAGTCCTGATCCAGGAAGATCCCACATGCTGCAAAGCAGCTAAGCCCGTGCTCCACGACTACCGAGCCTGCGCTCTACAGCCCGCCACAACTACTGAGCCCGTGCGCCTAGAGCCCATGCACCGCAACAAGAGAAGCCACCGCAATGAGAAGCCAGCGCACTGCAACGGAGAGTGGCCCCCGCTCTCCGCAACTAGAGAAAGCCCGCGTGCAGCAACGAAGACCCAATGCAGCCAACAATAAATAAATAAAATAAATAAACTTATAAATAGAAGAAAACACTCAGGTGGGTAACATGGGGGTGAGAGGGCTGTGGTGGTGAGGAGGTAGTGAGAATTGCGTTGAGGAGCGGATGGGGGTGTGGTGCTTGCGCATGTAAACAGATGGAAACTGGTCAGAAGTCTGGTCATTCTTCGAGGGAATTGTCCTGCCAAAGAAGCCAGGAAACCAGACTTTATAAAAACCCTATGCTCACAGACACAAAAAACAAACCTACGATTACCAAAGGGGAAAGAGGGGGAGGGATAAATTAGGACTCGAACATTTATGTACTACTATATATAAAATAGATAACCAACAAGCACCTACAGGACAGCACAGGGAACTCTACTCAATATTTTGTAATACCCTATAAGGAAAAAGAATCTGAAAAAGAATAGATATATATTCTGTATATATATATATAAAGAATCTGAAAAACAATATATATTCTTTATATGTATTTATATATATATTATATATAGCTATACAACTGATTCATTGTGCTGTACACCTGACAGTAACACATTGTAAATCAATTATACTTCAATACAAAAATCGAGAAAATGGGACTTCCCTGGTGGTGCAGTGGTTAAGACTCCATGCTCCCAATGCAGAGAGACCGGGGTTAGATCCCTGGCCAGGGAACTAGATCCCATGTTCATGCCGCGACTAAGAGTTCGCAGGCCACAACTAAGGAGCCTGTCTGTCGCAACTAAGACCTGACACAACCAGATAAATAAATATTTAAAATAATAAAAAATAAATTAAATTTTTTTTAAATAAAAATAACCCCCTATGCTGTTCGGGCATTGAAACAAAAGCCACGTGCAGACCCCCAAACTTGCACAGGTGGGAAGTGGGCCGCCCAAGCTGGACATCCCCCAAGGAGGGCATGGTCCCCTTATGCACTTCAGATGTGGCCACAGGAGACAATGGGCAGGGAAGGACGTCCTGGAGGGTGGAGCCAGAGCTTTGCTGTCTCTTCAACAACTGCACCTGTCCCTCCTGCCTCTCTTCTCTGGAGGTCCTAGAGTCAGGGCTCAGTCCTCTGGATCCGTTTCCAGATCTCCTGTCTCTCTTGTCTGGATTTCCATTTTCACAGTCATTTTGCGCTACGTTGTCAGTTTTGCCACCTGATCTTTCAGAAGGTTCTCAGCGGGGACTCATTTTTTTTCACTTCCTCTTTTGAACGTTTAATCTTGGAAGATTCAGGAGGCCGTCTTCGCCTATTTGTACGTCCTTTGGGTTCCCCTTATTCTCTTCCAAAGCCTCTTGTGTGAGTGCCGACTTGGCAGGAGCCTCCCGGTTCAGCTGGCTGTCATCCTGTAGAGGCTGTCATTGTTTTCTCTGCTGATGTAAACGTGCAGTTCCTTTGGCTTCCGGATAGGCTGGGTTTGGGGGTTCTGTGGTGGACACTGCCAAGCTGGCCAGATCTCCACACCCCTCCTTGGGGACCTAAGCACTCTGTCACCCCACCCCCCACCCCCCGGCCCTGCTCAGTGTGGGCGCCTGATTGCTCTCAGTGGAGAGTCCCTCTCCTGGAAAACGAAAGCTGCCTCTTCAAGATCGTGACCCCTTCCTGGGGCAGCCACGTTCAATAATGGGTCACTGTTGGGGCATAAAGGCCCAGGCCCTTTGTCCCAGCTCCAAAGTCCCCTGTAAGATAAGCTGAGGCTTTCTGCGTATGTTTTCAACTTCTTCCTTTGCCCAGTTTTGCCTCTTCCGCTTCCCCACAGGTGTTGATCCCAAGAACCCTCCCCAATCAACCACCCACATGCAAATCCCAGCATCTCAGAGTCCAACTTGCAGAGAACGTGACCAGCAAATATGTCTCTTGGTCAGTAGAAACCCCGTATGTAGTGGAAGACGAGGGATTCTTTGTTCTAGGGGCCTGCAGGAAGGCACCCAGCAAGCTGGGCCCTCCACACAGGTGTGTGGGCAAGGGTCCGTCTTCTCTCAGGTGCAAGCAGAGGCAAGCATGGGGATGGAAAGTCTCTGCAGCCCCCGAGGAGGGTAACTTGTGCTGTAGTCCAAGAGGTGAATGGAAAGTGTGGAAATAAACAAAGACCTCCCAAAGGAGAAAAAGCAAAGGCTACTGATTCAGAGCTGGCTATAGCAAGGGGGTCTGCCACCATCATTGGCATCTGGCAGAGACTCAAAGGCAGGCAGAAGGGTGGGAAAGCTTTATGGGGGGAAGGGAGACCTCAGGTGTGCCCTGACTGGAGGCTGCTGGCCTGGGGAGTTGGAAGTGGGCTGACTAGAAGCGGGGCATCATATTTGTTGTTCTCTTGTTGGTCTTCAATTGGAAACAGGGACAAAAGTTGACAGTTCATGATCAAGTCCTGGCCGTATGGGGCTGATTGTTACAGAAATTATTGTTTCGCTGCCCGCATTGTTGCTAGAGATACGAATGTGGTTTCCTGCAAGTCTGACTGCCAGCCGGCTGGCTTCCTGGGCTATTCAGCGTGGATAAGGAGATTGGTTTCCTGGGCAGCTCGTGTAGACTGTGGGTCAGAGTTCTACTCTCATATATGGTTTGGCCATTGTCTGTTTGTATATTCAGTCTCTCAAAAGAGATTCTAGGGCTTCCCTGGTGGCGCAGTAGTTGAGAGTCCGCCTGCCGATGCAGGGGACACGGGTTCGTGCCCCGGTCCAGGAGGGTCCCACATGCCGCGGAGCGGCTGGGCCCGTGAGCCATGGCCGCTGAGCCTGCGTGTCCGGAGCCTGTGCTCCACAACGGGAGAGGCCACAACAGTGAGAGGCCCGCGTACCACAAAAAAAAAAAAAAGAGAGAGATCCTGGACAAGGGGCTCCTCCTTTGGAGCAAAATCAGGGTCTTGTCAAGGACAGAGGGACCTCTCATTGCCTGCCCAGCGGGATTCATCACTGTGATGGACCACCAACTCCTGGGTGTCTTTCATTGGTTCCTCTCTGAAGAGAACTCTTCATTGCAATTTGCTAGCCCTGCTTCACGGTTGTGAATTAGGGGAGGCATGCCAAGGAAGAGCAGAGCAAGAAAAAGAAATTCACTCTGAGATACAGCGTACGATCAAAGACAATGAGAACATTCCTAAAAGCTGCAAGAATAAAGACTGATGGCCTTTAGAAGAGGAACAGGAAGATTGGCAGCTGACATGGCAGCAGCATCAATGTAAGTAAGACAGTGAAGGGATATCTTCAGTGTACGAAGAGAAAATAACTGTCAGTCTTGAGGTTTTTATTTATTTATTTATTTATTTTTGGCTGTGTTGGGTCTCCGTTGCTGCACACGGGCTTTCTCTAGTTGCGGCGAGCGGGGGCTACTCTTCATTGTGGTGCACGGGCTTCTCATTGCGGTGGCTTCTCTTGTTGTGGAGCATGGGTTCTAGGCGTGTGGGCTTCAGTAGTTGTGGCTCACAGGCTCTAGAGCACGGGCTCAGTAGTTGTGGCGCACGGGCTTAGTTGCTCCACGGCGTGTGGGATCTACCCAGACCAGGGCTCGAACCCGTGTCCCCTGCAGTGGCAGGTGGATTCTTAATCACTGCACCACCAGGGAAGTTCTTGAGTTTCATACCTAAAGAAAATATGTGTCAAGGGTGAAGGAGAGGGGCTTCCCTGGTGGCGCAGTGGTTGAGAGCCCGCCTGCCGATGCAGGGGACACAGGTTCATGCCCTGGTCCGGGAAGATCCCACGTGCTGCGGAGCGGCTGGGCCCATGAGCCATGGCCGCTGAGCCTGCGCGTCCGGAGCCTGTGCTCCATCCGCAACGGGAGAGGCCACGACAGTGAGAGGCCCGCGTACTGCAAAAAAAAAAAAAAAAAAAAAGGAAAGAGTGAAGGAGAAATATAAACATCTTCAGGCAAACAAAAGCTGAGAGAATTCACAAACAGCAGACGCTCACTAAAGTAAATTTGTTCAGGCAGAAGGAATGTGACCACAGATGGGAGGCTGGGGAAACAAGATGAAATGAAAAGAAAAGAAAGTAGTAAACATATGGGTAAATGGAAATAAACATTGTCTAACAGAATAATTTTAAAACATCAAATTAAAATACATGACAATGGTAACACACAAATCAGGAGGGGAATAAGTGGAATTATAAGTTCTGAGAGTCTTATATCATCTGTTTAGACACTGGTAAGATAGATTATCAATGTCTTAATTCAGAGGGTAGCCACTAAAAGAATAGAAACACAGTGCATAAATTATACATTAGCAGAGGGGAGAAGTAGAATAATTTTTTAAATTAATCAATCCAAAAGAAATCATAAAAGGAGAGACAAAGAAACACAGAATAAGTGGGACATATAGAAAGTACAAAATAGGGTGGTAGAGATAAATCCAAATAAGTCCATAGTTGCATTAAACATAATTACATTACATGCAAATCCATAATTATATTAAATGTTTGAATATTCCAGTTAAAAGACAAATATTGTTAGATTGAATTTTTTAAAATCTAATAACACTTACTTAAAAGAGACATATCTAAAACATAAGGATGGTGAAATATTGAAAGTTGATGGGTAGAAAAAGACATATATATACATATACAAATATTAATCAAATGAAAGATAATTTATATATTAATGTCTGACAAGGTAGACTTTGAGCCAATCCTTTAAAATAAAGATTGTCTCATAAAGAAAAATAGTCAATTCCACAGGAAAATATAACAATTCTAAATTGATAGGTGCCTAATAACATGGCCTAAAAATAACTAAAGCAAAAATTGATAGAACATCAAGGAGGCATAGAAAATCTACAATCAACAGAAAAGTTTAACACCTCTCTCTCAGTAACTGATAGAACAAGTAGACAAAAAATCAGTAAGGATATGGAAGATTTGAACAATGTAATTAACAAATGACTTGATTTACACATATAGAACCCTGAAGAACACACATTCTTTTCAAGCACATTCAGAACATTTACACAAAATGACTATACACTGATCCATAAACCAATTTCAACACATTTCAGAGGACTAAAGTAATACAGAATATAGTTTCCAACCATAATGCAATTAATCTAGAAATTGAAAACAAACAATAAACTGGAAAGTTTTCCTATTTATTTGGAAAGTAAGAAACACACTTTTTTTTTTTTTGTAGAAACACACTTTTAAATAGTAAACAGATCAAGGAATAATTCAGATGGGAATTTAGAAATATTTGACAAATAATGAGAGTACTATATCCCAAAACTTTGGGGTACAGCTAAAGCAGTACATAGAAAAAATTTATAGTCTTCTATGCATATATTAGGAAAAAAAGTTGAAAGTTAATGTGATAAACTTTCATCTCAAGAAGTTAGAAAAGTAGCTGAGTGTGTTTCACTGTTGAAGGGATGATGCCAATGGCAGGGGAGGGGTGGGGGATCCAGGAGGGAAGTGGTCCATCAGTGGGGTAAGGTTCTCAAGGAGACAGGGGAGGATAGGATCCCCACACCTCAGGTGAGGAGCTAATCCTTGACAAGAGACAACATCTCTTCCTACTTGATAGAAAAAGATGGATGCAGATTCAGGCTCATTTGCAGGTAGAGAGAGAGGGAGTTGAGAGGGTTCCCATCATTTTCTCTTTGAAGAAAGAGGCAAGACCTTCTGCTGAAAGTTTGAAGAGGGTGGAAGGAGTGGCAGTGATCCCCTACCAGGAAAGCATGAGACTTCTGGCAGCACAGAGGGCCTAGTTGAGGCAGGAGACCACAGATCTTCCTTAGCACCCAGGGGCAGGCATGAAAAAGGGAGACAGCTGAGTCATCCAGGGGAACGGTGTCACCAAGTGGGTGCACTGGAAGGACAAGGACGGGGAAGATACTCTGCTGGCAACAGTGACTCACCTGCTGGATCACAGAATCCAAGCTGGAGGAGGAAAGAAGGGATGGCAGGGCGAGAAAGCAGAAGGGGGAAGGGGCTGCTGGTGTGCAGGAGCCCAAGATCAGGTGCAGCGGGAGGAGGGAGGTTTGAGAGCTTCAAGGATGGTTCGAGAGCAGGGATCCTGACGGAATCATCTCTGAGATGGAGCGTCTCCACGTGAACCGAGCTGGGTCCCGACTGTGGCTTTGGGAAAGGAGGCTGAAGCGGAGAAGCCATGAAGGTCATTGAGACGGGGACAAAGAAAGAGCACACAAAGGACGGAGTCCCCCGGGATGATATCAAAGTAGGGGTGGGGGAACTTCCCTGGTGGTCCAGTGGGTGAGACTCTGTGCTCCCAATGCAGGGGGCCTGGGTTCAATCCCTGGTCAGGGAACTAGATCCTGAATGTATGCCGCAACTAAGAGCCCACATGCTGCAATGAAGATCCCTCATGCTGCAACTAAGACCTGGTGCAGCCTAAATAAATAAGTATTTAAAAAAATAATAAAGTAGGGGTGGGGAAGGCAGTGGTCTGATACCATCAGAGGTGGGATGCGGAGGTTGGTAGAAAGCAGTGCCCAGGAGCGGTGGAGGGTGGTACCTCCCTTTGTATACTTCAAGGCATCAAAAGGTTTTCCCTAGCGCTTCTCCCAGCCTGCCTTTCTGGAAACATGCAGTGGAAATTCTAAACCAGCTTTTAGGACAGTCAGACATCTCCAAAACACATGAAATCCACAGAAGACAAAATCTTGAGGATAGGAGTGTGTGTGTGTGTGTGTGTGTGTGTGTGTGTGTGTGTGTATGATCAGTGAAACCTTAAGTGCCACAGGGAAACTTAAATCAGAAATTTAAAGGAGAGGCATGGGACTTTCCTGGTGGCACAGTGGTTGAGAATCCGCCTGCCAGTGCAGGGGACATGGGTTCCCTGGTCCAGGAAGATCCCACATGCCGCGGAGCAACTAAGCCCGTGAGCCACAACTACTGAAGCCTGCGCCCCTAGAGCCTGTGCTCTCCAACAAGAGAAGCCACTGCAATGAGAAGCCCGTGCACCACAACGAAGAATAGCCCCTGCTCGCTGCAACTAGAGAAAGCCCTCGCGCAGTAACCAAGACCCAACACGGGCAAAAATATAAATAAAAATAAAAATAAAATAAAGGAGAGGCAGAGGGCAGTATTTACCACTGGGGTCTTGGTTAGGGTTCACTGTGATGCCTCTTGTGACTTGGGTTATAATCGGAAACAGTGACTGAGGTTTACTGTTTCGGATGTGTCAGAGGTACCTGGGCATTCCCATCCATTTGGCTGGAGGTAAACAAATGACCGCATGGAATACAGATGAGACCATAGGGCTTATTGCTGTGAAAACCTCTAGCACAGAAAGCAGCCTTTCTTCATTTCCCAAGTACACTATTGTTCAAACCAGTGACTTTTGTTGTTCACTTGCTCTGTTACACAGCTGATCAACATAATTCTTGGAAAAATCATTCAGGTTCTGCAAGACTAACTGATTTGTTTCTTTGTTTTTTCCTCTAAGCAAAACAGTATCAAATCATACCAAGTCAGATCAAACCTTCTCAAAGAATTATTTTTCCATTCCTTTGTCAGGTCTTTAACTTGAACTTCTAACAATAATCTAATAAGGAATGGATAGATCCAGAGAATAGGGAAAGGTTTGTGTCTCAGTGATTACATGTTATACTATTTTAAAATGTGTATTGGGATTAAGCTGTCTTTTGTTGTTGCTGAAGAACATTTTTCCTAAAAAGCTTTTTATAATGGAAAACTTTTTTACTATAAAAGTAATACACATTTTATAGAAATTTTGCAAAATACAGAAAGGCATGATAGTTTCTTTGCTATTTTTACCGTTTAGTTACAGATGAATGTTAGCATTATTTTCTCAAGTTCCAAAAAAATACAAAATGAGTTTCTGATTAGAATTGTATTCAACCCATAAATTAATTTGAGGAAATTACATCTTTACAAGATTTTACTTTCCCAGCCAGGAACATGAATATACCTCTCCATTTATTCAAGTATATTTTGAAGTCTTCCATACAAAGAACATTCCAAAACTTGACAGTCCTTAATGTTTCTCACTAATGTATCCCTAGCTATTTTATATTTTTGTCATCAGAGTAATTGACATTCTTTAAGCTGTTTTTTTTATTGGCATACAAGAAATCTACTGATATATACTTATTTTGCATTGGGACCGATTATTATACATTTTAGTTGATTTTAAGGTGACTCTCTGAGACATTCTAGGTAATTGACCTTATATTATGTAAATAATGAAAACTTGTCTTTAAAAAATATACTCTAGGGACTTCCATGGTGTTCCAGTGGGTAAGACTCTGCACTCCCATTTTGGGGGGCCCAGGTTCGACCCCTGGTCGGGGAACTAGATCCCACATGCATGCCACAGCTAAGACCTGGCACAGCCTAAATAAATAAATATTTTAAAAATAAAATAAAGTAAAAAATTTACTCTATTTATTGTTCTTCTCTCATTCCTTTGACTAGAACAATGTTCATTAGGATCTCGTTCCTGATCTCTCTAGGAACACCTCTAATTTTCAAAAAATCATTAAGTCTAATGTAGGATAATAATTTGAAATAATTATTCTTTATCATATTGAGCAAATATCCTTCTATTCCTAGTTTTTATCCAACTACATTAGCCCTTTTTTTACTAAATTTGTAATAGAGATTCCCATCACTTCTTCCCCACCCATGTCATATGTAGTGAATACATGCTTGCAATGACCACACACAGAGTTTCTGATCAAGATTTGCAGGATCTTAGTTCCCTGAACAGGAATTGAACCCCGGCCCTCAGCAGTGAGAGCGTGGAGCCCTAACCACTGGACCGCCAGAGTGTTCCCCCTGATCAAGATATTTTTCGTGGTAACCTCTTCAGAATTTTGGTAGTCAGGATATACAAGATATGTTGTTTGTATAAGTAGGAGATAAACATTTAAAACCAATTTTTTTTTAAACAATCATTTCTGACAAGAGTCCCTGCTCATCCTCAAAGTACCTCCACCCTCGATTTTCCATTCCTTGGACTCTGAGCCATGTTCCCTGGGTCCCTGGAATATGAACACCGCCAGCTGCACTGCTGCCCTTGTCCATGAAGAGCTCTGCAGTTGCTGCTGAAAGACATGCCATGTGAGAGCCCCTCACATTTACTCAGAGCTGTATTTGCTGCCTGGGGCCCCCAGGGTTTGCCATCAGATATTTCTCTGTGCTGCCACCCTCCACAGAACCCTGGATAAGGTGACCCTCTGTGGCCAAGCCAAGGGCTGAAGGTTGAAACTCCAGTTTTATCTGCAGATTCGATAAGCATATTCTTAATCCTTTTCCCCAGGACATCCAATAAAGCTATCAATCATCCAGTTATTAGATGGAGCAATCTATGTATGTTCATGAGGCCAGGATTTGTTAGTAATGTCATTCAAGTCTTTAATAATCTTACTGTTTTGTTTTGGTTTTTTTTTGGGGGGGGGCGTCTGCTTGTTCTATACATTACTAAAAGAAGCATATGAAAATCTCTCCCTACGTCAGGGATTTTTCCATTTCTTCTCTGCCAATTTTGCTTTATGAATTTTGAGGTCTTGTTATTGGGTGCATTCCAATTTAGAATAGTTAGAATTATACATCTTCCTGGTGTCTTTGATTTTGTATAATTAGTAAGTGAGTCTCTTTACCTCCAGTCTTTGATTTTGTATAATTAGTAAGTGAGTCTCTTTACCTCCAGTAAAACTTTGTAAAAAATAAATTTTATTGGGGGTATAATTTACATACAACAAAATGCATTCATTTTAAGTGCTTGATTCCACTTACACACAAACACACGCACACACTCATGTAACCACCATCACAATCCTATTTTCACTTTTGCCTTTCTTTACAGCAGTGTTTTGTTTTTTAGTTAAACTCATTTAGGCAGAATTTACATTCAGTAAAATTCACACTTTCATGAGTTATGACAAACGTATACGGTTGTGTAACCATAACCATAAGCAAGATATATAATAGAATATTTCCATCAAAAATTTCCCTAATGCCCTTTTGTTGGGGCGGCCAGATTTAGCAAGTTTAGCTGAGCAACCTGTATTTTATCTGGCAACACTGAGCCAATCCCTCTTTCCTCATCCCGTTCCCTGGTGACCACGGATTTCTGTCTCCATACTTTTGTCTTTTCATGAGTATCCTATAAATGAAATCATATGTCTCTCTGGTTTTTTTTTTTTTTCAGATGCTCTGTGAAGAAATTCACTTTACCACTTATAACTTTAAGACTTTGCATACATTACAACGGTGCATTAGTGATACAAGCCGTAAAATCCTTTTCCATTCCTTTGGATTTTGCATGTGATGGTTCTGCTTCAGTCACTGCAGGTAGATTGAGCAAGCTTTGTTTTTGTGTTTGTTTGTTTGTTTTTTAACATGCATTCAACTAGATAAGATTCAGAATAGATTAATACTCCCTTCTTATCATTACAGTTAGCTAAAAAATTGCCTGGCAGCCCACCGAACAGGATTTGCTTTAAGACCAGCCCACAGAGTCAGTTGGAGACTGAGGGCACTGGGACAAGCTGGGCCGGCCGTAGTAGCATATGTCTCTTCTGTGTGGCTTCTTTCTCTTAGCATAATGCTTTTGTGATTCATCGGTGTTGGTGAATGTATCAGTAATTCGTGCTTTTTTATAGTTAAGTATAGATATAACACAATTTATATATCCATTCACCCACTGATTCATTTGGGTGCTTCCAGCCCTTGGCAATTATGAATAAAGTTGCTACAGACGTTTTCATACAGGTCTTTGTATGAACACGTTTTCATTTCCCTTGGGTGAATACCTAGGAGTGGGATTGCTGTGTCATATAACAAGTGTATATTTAACTTTATAAGAGACTGTCAAACTGTTTTCCAAAACGGCTCTACCATTTTGCATTCCCATCAGCAATGTGTAAGAATCCAAACTGCTCTGCATCTTCGTAGATGCTTGGTATTTTTGTTTGGGGCCGGGAAGGAGGACAAGGCGGTCCTAGTGCTGCCCTTTCTTATCTGGCTGATTACACAGGGGGTTCAGCTGGTGAAAGTTCATCAAGCTATGAATCTGTATGAACACTTTTCTGTGCATATAATAATCCTCAATAAAAAGATTTTTAAAGTACACAAAATACCTTTGAATAATTCTACTAAATTAACTAAACGTGTGTTGAAATTTAAAATGTGCTTTTTAAAAAACTGAAAGAGGGCTTCCCTGGTGGCGCAGCGGTTGAGAGTCCGCCTGCCGATGCAGGGGACACGGGTTCGTGCCCCGGTCCGGGAAGATCCCACATGCCGCGGAGCGGCTGGGCCCGTGAGCCATGGCCGCTGAGACTGCGCGTCCGGAGCCTGTGCCCCGCAGTGGGAGAGGACACAACAGTGACAGGCCCGCGTACTGCAAAAACAAAAAACAACAAAAACAAAAAACTGAAAGAAAAAAAAACATCAGTGTAAATCCATAGTAGCCTGGCTTCACAATCTCTAAGATTTTTTTTCCCCAGCTATCCATAGTAAATATCTGAAAGGCAAATTCATATTTCTGCACATTATAAGTGACAGGTCAGGAGGATCAATCCAATGTGTATATAATTATATTCCTGTCCTCATCAATTATCTATTTTTATTCTAAAAATTCTCATAATTTCAATGTCCTTAGTTTTGTGTTCAGGATGTAAAAATGAACTGTCGATGAATAAATAATGACCGGGGCTTCCCTGGTGGTGCAATGGTTAAGAATCCGCCTGCCAACACAGGGGACATGGGTTCGAGCCCTGGTCTGGGAAGATCCCATATGCCACGGAGCAACTAAGCCCGTGTGTCAGAACTACTGAGCCTGTGCTCTAGAGCCCATGAGCCACAACTACTGAGCCCACGTGCCACAACTACTGAAGCCCACAAGTCTGGAGCCCGTGCTCCGCAACAAGAGAAGCCACCGCAATGAGAGGCCTATGCATCGCAACGAAGAGTAGCCCCCATTCTCCGCAACTAGAGAAAGCCCGTGTGCAGCAACGAAGACCCGACGCAGCCAAAAATAAAATAAATAAATGATGACCGTAAAGGGTAGAGCGTGAGGGCAAGTATTGGTCTTTTCTTCCCTAGGAGCAATGGTTCATTATTCACTAAGTCAGCGTTCACGGCGACTTTATTAAACATAACAACCACGAGTCATGAGAATTGACTGTAGGATAAACTGAGGCACAGAGTGGCTAAGCCTCTTGCCCACTGTCACTCAGCTAAAAGTGAAGGAGCCAGGGTTTGAAGCCTGGCAGTGTTACTCCAGAGTCCTTTTACATGGGGGATCTAGCATGGCCTTACATTCAAATGAGATTATAAATCAACAACTAAGAGGACCAAGCTGATTTGTTATTTAGCTATTTCTGCATAGAAAGCACCCGAGAGCATCTGTGTCCTGAGACACAGCTTGAGGATTTAAGTGTATCCTTCTCTGTCTTTAATTCATCCGCTGCCATCAGAAGAAGCCCAGCAGGCCTGCTTTCGTCCATATAATACTCCACACACGCAGCTACGCGGTTCCCAGAGATGTGCTCAGTAGACGCTAGGTGCCAGGTGACCCCAATCCACTGAAAGTTGCCAGATTCTCCTATGAGAGAATGAGTTTCCCTGTATTCTGGACCATCTCAGCCAGATAGTTCCATTGTTCTCTGAAATCCATTTTCTAGCAACCCCCTAGACTGGGGGCTTGCAAGCATTTTCTCTAGAGGACCAGGCAGTAAATATTTCAGGTTTTTGTGGGCCACACAGTGTCTGCTGCAACGACTCAACTCTGCCGTTGCAGTGCAAAAGCAGCCAGATAATACACAACAGAGGCGTAGCTGTATTACAATAAAGCTTTACTACAAGAGCAGACAGAGGGTCGGCACACCCCTGCTCTAGACTATGAGCTCCTTGAGAAGCTGGGCTGCATCTTATCTTTGTAATTTCAGCCCTAGCGGGAAAAATTTTTCTGATTTTTACTAAAGAGGAAATAAAAACACAGGATCACAGAGGCTGACTTTAAGGAAGGCAAGCACAGAGCTGCAACTGGCTGTTTAGGTGTATTTTCACTTGTGAATTGAACAGAGGTGCTGCATTTTTCATGTTAGACCTGAGCTACTTGGGAAACTTAAAGCAAAGGATCTTGTCTTGGGACTTCCCTGGTGGTCCAGCGGTTAAGACTCCACACTCCCAATGCGGGGGGGCCAGGGTTCAATCCCTGGTGAGGGAACTGGATCCTGCATGCCGCAACTGGGAGTCTGAATGACGCAACTAAAGATCCTGCGTGCCTAAGACCCGGAGCAGCCAAATAAATAACTTTTTTTTTTTTAAAAAAAAAGGATCTTGTCTTCACAAACCCTCCTACCTGGCCTGCATCTCAGCAAACCTGTCTTTGCAGGGTAAGTTCACCTGCACAACCTGAAACCATGAGGTACTGGGTGGTGACAGTTTTAAATGGAGTTTCAGGTGCTCCCAGGGCTCAGAGCTGGCTATCTGACCCTGTCTTCGCACACCTGCAGTTTTCTGTGTCTGGTTTAGTTTCTTAGCCCAGGACCCTGTTGACATAAAAAAACACACAACCTAAAAGTTGAGAATTATGTTTTATTTGGCAGATAAAACTGAGGACTTAAGCCCGGGACACAGCATCTCAGATAACTCTGAGAGGCTGCTCCGAAGAGGTAAGGGAAGAGCCAGGATACATTAGGAGTTTTAGCAACAAAGACCAGGGAGTCAGAACATCAAAAGATTACTGTTAATTAAAGAAAACCAGATATCTCAAGTTAAGGAATTTAGCGCTTTTCTATATATGGGAAGATGCAAGAGTCCAGGCTTACTGAAATCATTCCTTTGATATGCACCTTAGCTATCTGGGGCCAGTATCTTGTGCTATCTCAACCAAGTCCCCTCAGGGCACACTGTCTGGGGTGGTTGCAGTGGCAGACTGCTATATTGCAGGGGGTGGAGGGGTGGGAGGGGGTTCGGGGTTGGGGGGTGGACCCAGTTTCTATCCTGAGTTCCCTCAGGGCTCCCCACTGGAGAGCTGTAATGTGATGGCTTGATGACTACAACCTTCTTTGTTTATGATGGAGCAGGCAACTTTTTTTTTTCCATTGATAACCCAAGACACGTTATAAAACTGTCTGAAAATAAAGCCTTTTGGTTTATTCCCATTGAGATTGTCTTTCACAGACAGGCTTTGGTTCGGATTTGGGGGAACTTGAGAAGGTCTTACACAGACTGGGATACGGTCACAAAACTAGTAACTTACAAAGCCTATTTCTTTTTTTTCTTTTTTTATTGATATTTTAAATTGAAGTATAGTTGATTTACAACGTGCCAATCTCTGCTGTACAGGGAAGTGACTCAGTTATACATATATATACTTTTTAAAATATTCTTTTCCATTATGGTTTATCCCAGGAGACTGGATACAGTTCCCTGTGCTTACAGTAGGACCTTGTTGTTTATCCATTCTAAATGTAATAGTTTGCATCCACCAAACTCCCAGTCCATCCCCCTCCCTCCCCTCAAAGCCTATTTCTTTTTTGTTGTTGTTGCTTTTTAATACACGCTTTCTTTTTTTTTTAATATTTATTTATTTATTTGGCTGCGTCAGGTTGCGGTATCTGGGATCTTCCTTGTGGCATGAGGAATCCTTCGTTGCAGCGCGCCATCTTCTCTCTAGTTGTGGCGCTCCGACTCTAGAGCCTGCCAGCTTTGTTGCCCTGCGGCATGTGGGATCTTAGTTCCCCCACCACGGACGAACCCGAGTTCCCCTGCATTGGAAGGCAGATTCTTAACCACTGGACCACCAGGGAAGGCCCCCAAAGCCTATACCTAATGAAGGTCAAGTCCCATTCGCTTTCCTCTATACTCCGTTTTGCCCCACTGTTATTCACATCTCACAATTAAGAAACATTCTGTGAGCCTCAGTTTCAGCATCTGTAAAACGGGTGCGAAGCGCGTCACAGTGCTATTGCAGAGTTAAATCACCCAACCAAGCCCAGGTCTTGGCACGAGTAAGCACTCAAAACACGCTGGCGGCCATCCCGACTATGGCTTACTCCCAGCGCAGGCCCCCCCGCCCCCCGGCTGGATAAAGTCGGAGGGATGAGGGAGGGCATGTGGCAGGGTCACGCCGTCGGGGTAGGTCTGAGATCACCCAGCCCCGGTACCTCGGTCGCTACAGGGCAGTGTCCACAGACTGTGAGACGAGCACCAGGAACCACCACTTCCGGCAGAGACCTGCCCGAAATAGCCGCTTCCAGCCGCTCTCCAGACGTAGCTGGACCGCTCCGCGGTGGGCGGGGCCCTGGGTACAGCCACGCCCCTCGCTTCCGGCTCGCCTCCTGCAGCGCCTGGAGCCGCTGGGCGGCTCCCGGCTTGGGCCGACGCTGCCCCGCCCTCCAGGACCCGCCCTCCCGTGACGTCACCTCCGGGGCGGTCCTGGCGGGGCCAGAGCTGGGGCGGCTGCCCTGAGCAGTCTTGGTTTGCGGTCGCGCTGCTCCGGTGCCCGCCACGTCCGCACGCCGGACGGCGGCCGCTTCCCCGCCGCCCGAGGGCCTCCGGGCCGCCGCAGGCCTGCCACGCCCGGGTAAGGGGCCCTCGCTGTTGTCCGCGGAGCTGTTGTCAAGGCTGCCTGAGCCGGCTTGGGGCTGAGCTCTAGAGGGAGGTGGGGACAGGAGGAGGGGTGCATGGGAGCACGAGAGGCAGAGGAGGGGGCATGGGGCCACGAGAGGCAGAGGAGCGGGACAAGAGAAAAGATGAATGGGGACATAGAATGCAAGCTGGTGACGACTGGAGGTGAGGAATTGGAGGAGAGGAAAGAACCGAAGGAGTCAGTTGGGGGCCCAGACTCGGAAGGAGCATGGATGGGAGCCCAAGAGGCGGGAGACAGGAGGAGGGCTTAAGGGGATCCCAAACCAGAGAAGAGACCCGGGTCGCTCCAGTTTGGGAGCGGAGGAGAGGGAAGTTGGGACACTCCCGGATGGGTGGGGAGCTAAAGGGTCCTGCCCGGCCAAGGCTGGGCCCCAGGAAGGGTTACCCTCAAAGAAAGAGTTGGCTCTTTAGGCGACCCAGGCCTCCCCCAAGCCCGCCCTACCTGGGAGGGTGTTGTGCATTTACATTTACCTGCTCGCCTCCTCCAGGTGAGTCTGGGTGGCTAGTTAGTGTGTGGAATTAGCTGTTAGGCTAGTATGAGGAATCCATGGTTTGCCATAAGACATAAATATCTACTTAGAAATCTGCCTTTAATAATGTTTTTTTTTTTCTCCCTGGAGGAAGCATCTCTAAAATTTCAATACAGATGTTCAGCTTACATGCCAGACTTGCCTAATGGACAAAGGAATGTCAAATCTACCCAGACTGCCAGCAAAAGCTAGCCTCTTGATCAGCGTTTAGCCTGATACCAAAAATTCCAAAAACCTGGAAGGAAGCGATGTGGTTAAGACACTCTCCAGTGCTCTGGGTTCCCATCTGCCACAGAGACACTTCCTTTGGACCACAGGACAATGTCTGTATACACAAACCCACAAGTCTGTGTCGCGATACCAAAGTTCAGCCAGGTGACGTGTCAGGGCAGGTATCTGTGGTTTGCCCTGTACTTGCTTCCGCAATTCCTGTCCCTCGGTATGTATAGTTTCTCCAGCTTGGTGTAGGGACTGGGACCACGTTGCCGCTGATAAATAAGTTACTAGTGTGATGGAATGTGGCGGGCAACACTTGTGTTGAGCCCAGGAAAAAGGAATTAAGCAATTTGGAGAATTGTAATCCAGAAAAAGGAATTAAGCAATTTGGAGTCTGATATCAGGTAACTTGCACACAGCACCCTGCATATAACAAACGGTTTCATAAAAGTTAAAAGTCAAGCCAAGGTTGGGAACATAAGAAATTGGAAATGGGAGATGTTGAGAGGTAGCACAAAGTCATGGACCAGAGAAGGTCATGAAGTTGGCACCCAGAGCCACATTCTGAGAGTGCCTTTCTAATATAGGGTTGCCTGGCTAGTGGGGTGCTGCCCCTTCCCTGCAGAACTTGTGAGGGGCTGACCCCTGAAAATGAGAACTCCCAGCAGCAGCCTAACCTCCTGTCTTTCCACCTGCCCTGCTCTCCTACTCAACACTTAGTCCTTCTTGCTTATTCCCTTCCTGCACAGGGGTCTCTTCTTTCTGAGACCTTGATCTGCCCAGTCACTCTGCACCAGATCATGAGGATAACTGGCCAGACCCTCATTTAAGGCTCACTAAAGCCTTTTCAGGGGAGACTATGATTCTGAGTCTTGTTAATGCTTTGTCCGTTGTGAGTCAACTTAGATTAGCACAGGCCCCCACGTGGGAATCTTGACATTTAGAATATGCTGTTGGAAAGCAGAGTCAGGACCATACCAGAGAGATGAAGTGACAGCACGAGGGCCTGTTCTTGACTCCGCACAGCGGCCAATTCCTGTCTCTGTGGGAGTGATCACCAGCCCCACTGGCTGAGGGAAGAGACAGTGATGGTATCCAGCAGAGGTCTCCTGAGCGACCAGTGGAGTTTCCTGAGATAGCTTTAGAGAGATGCTCCATGCACACGCTCACCTCATGTATGTAACTGTGTGTGATTGCACACGTGCATGTGTATGATTGCACGTGTACACACATGGCAGTGTGCACGCAGGTGTTGCCATGTGCACATGGATACGAGTGCGTGTGTGCGCCGTGTGACCGCATGCATACGCACGTGTACCTATGCACATATGCGTGTGTGATAGAGAGCAGGCCCGTCCGTGGTGGTTCTCAGGCATCACCACCTACACATATCTGTCACTCTAGGAGGTGCTGAGTTTCTTTCATCTCCTCCTGAGTTTACACTAGAAAAATGCCTCCCTCCTCGCTGGATTCTCCCCCCCGTGCTTTTTCTAAGGAGCGTTTATTCTTTTTCAAACCGTAGATGCATCTTCTACCAGAGTGGAGCATCTGCCTGGATCCCACGTGTGCCACAAAGCGTGCCATGGCCTGGGAGTGCCCTTCAAAGCCGTCCTCGCCTCCTGCAGAGCCAAACCTCGCCCGACAAGCGCACAGTGTCAAGCCCTCAGCCCCCCGAGGAAGATGGCCCAGCCTGGGCACACGCCCCGAGCAGCTGCCTGTCGTGAGTGTCCAAAGCCCTGCAGGCAGGGCCACCTGCTCAGTGACAGGACAGTGAGCCCGAAAAGGGCCCCGAGGGGGCTTTGCAGGGACAGGGTGGGCAAAGGAAAGACAGTGAACCTCAGAGGGCCAAGCCGTCCAGTGTGCAGGAGGCCCGGTCTGTGGCATTTCGCCATCAGAGCTTCTGCCTTCTTGGGTGGCCCTGGTGGGGGGTCCCCAGGCAGGTATGGGAACCGTGTGGTCCTCTGGGCCGTCTTCTGTTTCTGTGAGGTTCTCTCTGGGCCTCGTGTCATGAGACCACGATACTATGAGAGCCCCTCACTGCACGGGCAGGGGTGCTGCATCTCACTGATGCGGGGTGCGGAGGGGGCGCCTCCTAGCAGAAGGGGCCCTGGGAGGAGACTGACTAGAGTCTGTCCCTGGACCAAAAATGGGACGGCCCGTGTCTGTTCCAGGATGAGGGACTGGACGGGAAGGCAGAAACCCATTCAGGCCCTTGAATCAGTTCCTCCTGCCTTAGCTGGAGCATCAGCTCTGAAGCGCCAGAGGCGGGGGTGGCAAACTGTGGCCTGTGGGCCACGTCTGTGCCCGCTGCCTGTTTTTGTAAATAAAGTTTTATCGGGACCCGACCACACCCATCACATACCTATGGTCCATGACTGCTTTTGCAGACTTGAGTAGCTAAGACAGACCGTATGGCCCACAAAAATCTAAAATGTCTGCTATCTAGCTGTCTATAGGAAAAAGTTTCCTGACTCTGCTCCGGAGATTTGTAGTGAGGTGGCAGTGGAAAGCCTGGGGTGCATTCAGGAAGCCCCTGTCAGATCCAGGGCTCAGACTTGGGGAGCATGTTGGGCTCAGTGGTGGCATTTTTAATGCATTCAGTGGACGTGACTGGCCAAAGAGAGAGTCGTTTAAATACACTTATTTACGGAGAGCCCAGCTGCATTTACTTCAGCTAATGTGGGGGGAGTGGGAGCTCTCTGTGCCTGAAACCTCCCTGGTTCAGTCCTTCCCCCTCATGACATTGGTCTGTTTCTTCTCTCCCCACCCCACCCCCTCTGTTTCAGTCAGAACAAAGAATGCCTTTTGCTCTGGAGGAAACAGATGCAAATCTGTGGTTTGTAGGGCTGGGGAACCTTTTTAAACCTGTAAGACACCAGGAGCTCTTATGGACAGTTTTGGCGGGAGAGTGCGCCATGAAGCTAAACTAAAGTTAGTGACTCTCACGAAGGGATTAGAAGCATGGGGGAGGGGAGTGCCCAGCCTTCCAGCAGAGTTTGTGCTCAAAAGGGTTTTTCCAGTCATGGGGCCACTTTGCAAGAGCCCCCGCTGCTCACAGGAGAAAGAAAGCCACCTCTAGATGCCCCTTTATGCTGCACGGGGACTGCTTTTGCGTGGCCGCCAGCAGGGCTGGAAGTGCTCCTCGAGGGGGCCGGGCTGGGCCAGGAACTGCCGGTATTTCACGTGTCTGGCGAGGGTGGGCTCACGGGAGAGGCCGCGGGTCAGACTTTGAAGGCGGCCTCGCCATGTTAAGGAGCTTAGGAGTTATCCTGGGAGAGCAGGGGGTTTAAGCATTGGAGGCAGCGTCAGCTTTGTGGGTTACAAAGATCTTTCTGGCAGCTGTGGCATGGCAGATGGAGCAGACCCAGGATGGGGACGCTTGAAGGTGACCCTTGGGGCTGCTGGGAAGCCAGTGAGCCTGCCCTGCTCCGCGGGAGGGCAGCCTGGCCACAGGGCCGTGGAGAGCAGCAGTTAGCATCCGTGCCAAGGCGAGGAGTCCGTCAGGACGTTTCGTTCAGGGTGACCTGAAGGCTCCCTTCCAAGACATTCTGTGGAACCCAAGAGCTTCGCCATGAGGGCCAGGGGAAAGGCCGAGGGCCTAGGGCATCTTCGGGCAGGACTGATTGTGGAGGCACCCCCCAGGAGTCGCCAGCCCTCAGGCTCCCAGCAGACTGTGCTCTGCTTGCCCTGTGCCCACGTCAAGTTTGAGTCTCAGGACTAGCCCTCGTTGCACGTGACTGGGCTGTTGTCCAAGGGGACCTGGGCCTCGCAGGTGGCCACGTGGGACTCCGGCAGTTGGGTAGGGCTGAGAACAGGATCAGGGCGCACCCAGGACCGGCAGGGCATGAAGTGATGGGGCACTTGAGGCCACCTGCCCCCTCGGTTCCCCTGTGGTGAGGGACCTGAGCCTGCCAGCACGTGGGAGAGACCTGGGGTGAGTGGGGAGACCCCGCTGTGTGCTCGGGAAGCCAATCCTGTTGAGGCTCAGCTGCCGTGGCGTCTCTGTAAGTTTCTGCAGTTGCACCGTAACCCTCAGAGACCAGGGCTTCTGCGACCAGGTCCACTTAGCCCACCCTCTGTCCCCTGCTGTGGAACCCCCTTACTGAGTCTCTCAGCCTTCTCAGGACTTGCCCCCTGCATCGCCACCCCAGCTGCCCCTTGCTGGAACGCCTCGCTTGTCATACCCCTGCCTCGGGCCTGCACGGGCTCGCCTCCCCCCACACCGAAATCCAAACTGCCCCGTGGTGGCCTCTCTCTCTCTTGTTTAAGCCCAGGTCTCACTGCGCTGTCCCCAGGCCTCTGGCCCTGCTGTCGTCACCTGCTGCTCCTGCCACTTGCCCCCCACCCCTTTCCCACCAGGTGGATCCCAACTGTCTTTCAGAACGTGGCGCAGGTGTTACTAGCCAGGTTACCTTCCCTGGCCCCCGCCTCCACCCCCCACCAGCTGAATTCCGTGCCTCGTGGGTCCTGCAGCACCCTGTCCCGTCCCACCCACCTCTGGGGCCTCTGCACAGAGGACCAGCCTCCACCTGACCCTTTGCAGCCTCCCAGGTGCCATCTCCTCCCTGTTTCCCGACTTAGTCCCTCTACGCTGGCACCAGCCTGCACTGACCTCTCTTCTGTGTCTCCCGTTGGAGGCAGGCTCCCTGGAGGAGGGGGCTGTGCGGCTCTCATCTTTCTGTCCTGAGTGTACTGCCTGGCGCATGAGCAGGCACTCGGGGAGTATTGGACGAAGGGATGGGTGATGGGTGGATGGGTGATGGGCGGTGGATGGGTGATGGGTGGTGGATGGGTGATGAGTGGATGGGTGATGGGCGGTGGATGGGTGATGGGCGGTGGATGGGTGATGGGTGGATGAATGGATGATGGGTGGTGGATGGATGGATGGATGATGGGTGGTAGATAGATGGATGGATGGATGGATGGATGGATGGATAGGTGGGTGATGGGTGGATGGATGGATGGACAGGTGACAGGGGGATGGGTGGTAGATGGATGGGTGGATGGGTGGGTGATGGGTGATAGATGGGTGGATGGATGGATGGGTGGGTGTTGGGTGGATGGATGAATGGATGAGTGATGGGTGGATGGGTGATGGGCAGTGGGTGGGTCATGGGTGGATGGTGGATGGGTGGATGATGGGTGGATGGGTGATGGGTGATGGATGGGTGAATGGATGGATGGGTGGGTGATGGGCAGTGGATGGGTGATGGGTGGTGGATGGCTGGCTAAGTGGAATCTCTCCATGTGGTCAGCTGTCACGGGTGCAGAGAAGTGCTCTGGGCCCTGCAGAGGCCACAGAGAAGTTGAGGAGGAAGTCTTGGCCCCCCTCTCTGCTGCTCTTTCATACTCTGAACTCTGAGCTGGGATAGTAAGACACATAGTGAGACTGGGTTAAGAAGTGCTATAAACCTGTCAGAGCAGGCACTGGGCGGATCCCTGAACACATGGCTGAGACACTGTTCCTGAATGCTCTTCCTGAATGCCAGGCCCCAGGGGAAACATCTGGCTGGGTTTGCACCCTGGGACCTCTCGGAGCACTCCACAGCCGGCGCGTTGCCAGGCCTGTGCCCTGTGCGTCACTGACCAGATGCCTTCCTTCTTGACCTTAGGTTCCTCAGCCAAGCAGCAGGGAACTGTTAGCAGCCTGAGGAACGGCAGGCTGGGAGCCTCGGGCACCGCCCAGCCTTGCTGCCAGCTCACCTGCAAGATGTGGACAGCCCTCGTGCTCATCTGGGTTTCCTCTTGGTCCTTATCTGAAAGCCACCTGACAGCCCAGCATCCACGTAAGTGAGAAAGCCATGTGACTGCTGGACGGGCCTGCAGGGGCCCCGGGGCTCCTGGGGGCTGGGCGGCGAAGGCCTGTTGGGCCAACATGGGACCGGGCCTCTGAGCCTTGAGAGGGTGACTTACTTGGCCTTGCAAAATTTCATTCCTTCCATAAACCTAGTCTTTATTGGGGAGTTTGTCGATCTACACATCACATATTTAGTTGCGCTTCTCCTCTGTGCCAGACACTATTCTTCTCCAGGAATCCTGCTTTGAATCCGATCATAAAGCCAAGAATTCTTGCATGGTGTGAATATCTGGGCAACGGTTTATCTGCTGTGTAAACCTGGGTGTGTGTTGGATAGGTTTTTTTAATGGCGAATCACACCTGTAATGCGAGAGATTATGATATTTTGAGAACTGGATCAAAAAATGAAGCTCTGGGGGCTTCCCTGGTGGCGCAGTGGTTGAGTCCGCTTGCAGATACAGGGGACGCGGGTTCGTGCCCCGGTCCTGGAGGATCCCACGTGCCGCAGAGCGGCTGGGCCCGTGAGCCATGGCCGCTGAGCCTGCGCGTCCAGAGTCTGTGCTCCGCAATGGGAGGGGCCACAGCAGTGAGAGGCCCGGGTACAGAAAAAAAAAAAAAAAAAAAAAAAAAATGAAGCTCTGAAGCCTTTCATGGGCTTGGGGTTCAGAGAGCACAAAGGAGATTTTAAATCAAAGTGCTGAGCGCCTCTGTGATGGGCTGCAGGCCAGATGTGTGCAGGGAGGAGATGAGAGGGAAACGTGTTTGCTGGGCTAAGAAGCAAGGCACCACACAGCCTCCCTGGCCAGCCCCACGGGCCGGAAATTAAGACAGTCTTTGAATGATCCACCTGCACAGGGTTGAAGGTGATCATATCTTTTCCTCCCTTTTCTGACCCTAATGGTACTCAGTCCTCAACAAGACGCTGGAGAATTCAGAACAAAACTCATCCGTGGAAACCATTACAAGAGTCTTGAATGAAACGTCTGCAAGAATGACCTCGGTGACACCTTCTCCCATCACGTTGACCAGGGGGACTTGGGGAGGCGACCCCCCCTCTCCTGCGGTCACAGCAGGGACAACGCACAGGACAGAGGCAGGCGCGTCAGCAACGGCAGAAGGGACCCCTGACGGAGCCACCTCCGGGGTGCCCACGCTGCCTGTCCCGGCATCTGACTGGCGGACCCTGTCCTCACCCCACACGCGGGCGCCTGGCAGCGGCACGTTGTCTGGGCCAGCGACGCACACGACACCCACGCCGGCCACGGGTGCTCCCACAGCTGCTGCGGCCCTGGCAAGTGTAAGCGGCCCCTTGGGCTCACACGGTCGTCCCGGGCACACCCCCGGCCATGCCACAGCCAGCCCCACAGTGCCCCTGAGTCCCCAAACACTTAACGCGTCCACACAGGGCCCCACCGTCCAGGCGCCGACGGCCCGGACTGCGGCTGACGCAGCAAGTAGGCCTGCGCCCACCCTCCTCAACACAACCCCAGAACCCACCTCCCCCTCTTCGGCTTCCGCATCCATGACAGTGGGGACCACGACCAAGGCCCCCCAGCCAGCTGCCAGCACAGCGCCAGCCCCTCACTCCAGCCTGGCCCCCCCAACACGGCCCAGCCCCGTCACATCCATGCCGGGGGCCGCGGGGCCAGGCACCACTCAGACGCCGGAGCAGGGCGAGCCTGAAGCCGCGCCTGGTACTGCTTCCATGGGGCCGACCCCTGGGAGCTCAGGGGACTCCAAGGTGCCAGCCACAGACTCATGCCAGCTCAGCACCCAAGGCCGGTACCTGGTGGTCTCCAGCAAGCCCCTGGCCCAGTCCCCAGTGAACAAAAGTTTTCTCCTGGCAGTGCTCTTGCTGGGGGTCACCCTCTTCATCACAGTCCTGGTTCTGTTTGCCCTGCAGGCCTATGAGAGCTACAAGAGGAAGGACTACACGCAGGTGGATTATCTCATCAACGGCATGTACGCCGACTCAGAGATGTGAGGGGAGGGCGCTCGGCCGGGCCTGGGGCTGGGCCCTTCCCCTCCTTCCATGTTGCCTCTGAGGCCAAACCAAGTGCTTCCAGATTCTTTTGGTGCAATTTAGGAGACGTGCCATTTGCTTAAACACATTTAATCGTTGTCCGATTAATTCCACGATCACTAAAGAGTTGCTGCTTTTTTCATATTTATTTTTGTAACGATCACGAGCAGGCAGTGATTCTGCCTTGGGGTGGGGTGGGCGGCCCCGGGGTGGGTCCCGACCTGAATTAAAGCAATGACCCTTTCCGCTCAGACCCTGTCTCCCCGTTTGTGTGGGCTGTGTCCTGCCCCCCCCCCCATGGCGGCCGGGGAGCCTTTTCGAGATGCATGTGACAGGGTGTGTTCTTGTAAAACGTTGAATGTAACACGAGGCCCTGGCCATCTGCTGTGTCTGTGCCGCTCTCCTGGGCTTCGCTCTTAGGCCCAAACCTGCCCCAACCTGGGTGGGAGGAACCCCAGCCTTTGAGGGTCTCTGGCACCGCGTGGAGGTGGGGCCCCTTCCTCTAACCCTCCTTTTTCAGCACTGTGAAGTGGCGGACGCGTGAAGCCTCGTTTGGGCACGAGAGCCGAATGCAACATGTAAACCACACCTGAACTACACAACATGGCCAGGTCGGCGGGACCCGCCCAGACCAGGCTCTAGGTGACCCCGCACAGCTCGTGGTGTGCCCTGGCCGAGTGGAAACCCAATACGCTGGTGCCGTGGGATAGTCATTACTAGCACCTCGCTCCAGGTCACCCCGGAACCCAGGGGCGCGCTAGGCCCGAGTGAGCCCAGGGCCCCGCCCTCATCAGCTCGATGGCCCTGGGGCCAGGCCTCACACCCGCGACAGCCCTGAGCGCCCACACTGTGCTTGTCCTCGCCCCGCCCCAGGAGATCAGGGCTCTGACCCCCATTTTAAAGGCGGGGCCCCTGAGGCAGAGGAGACCTAACTTACCACTGAGGGCCAGAGTCCAGCTCTTTCCTTAACTATTTTGTTTTACAGCCGCCGGGGCTGCACTTGGCATTCTAGCTTCATCTGCTTACCAGCCAGAGGGAGGCAGGAGAGCTGGCGGGCAGCACGTGAGGCTGCGTTCCCAGGCCAGGTATGCAGCCACCAGCTGTGTGACCCGGAGCAAGTGTGGCGTGTTGTGGGCTCAGCTGCTTTACCTGGGCGATGGGGAGACGGTCTGTCTGTCACGGCCCCCAGGGGCATGCTGCCTGGAGCGATTCCAGGTGGGGAGTTGACTCGTGCTTTCTCAACTACTCTGAACCCCGAGGAGGAGACCGTTCTACCTGGAGACTCCAGTTTCCCCATCACAGAAATCTCCTGAGCCAGGCCTGCGTGTCCACTTCCTCTTATCGAAATTCTGCCTCCTCCAAAAAGGATTTCAAATGGCGCATAATAAAAGACAATGGTAGTGAACTCCCAAACCATTTGAAATAACTTACGAGAGTAGGGAGGAGGGATGGGAACAGTCCTCACCCGTTTTCTAGCTCCATCCCGGGTTTCCCCAGCCCATCTTTTCTCACTGGTTGGTTCAGGGGGCCCAGCAGACCCCTTTCCCTCGCCAACAGCTATGCTGTGTGTCCTGACAGCTAGGCTCCAAGCAGCCTATGCACCTGTGTCTCTCCCTGCCCTAGCCGACCCATCGCACACCTGGGCCCATCTGCCGTGTGATCACAGGTGCTGGCGCTGACTGTGGCTGAGAAAGTGTCAGCCTCACTGATCTGAGCTCCAGGCCAGGCTGCAGCTCTGTTGTCCTTGAGTCTGAGAGGCCACCTGCTGCCCAGGTCAGGCAGCTCTGCACAGAGTGGAGAATCGGGGGGATTTAGGGGGTGCCCTTTTCCTCTGCCAGCATCACCCCAGCCGCCTGTCAAGGGCAGGCTCCACACCCTGGCTGGTGGGGTCTCACCCAATAGAGACAGAGCCTTAGACCCCCATGAGCCATGGAACACTGGGTGGCTTGTTCCTCTCTAGGGGTGTAGGACAAGGGGCAACCCGCAGGGCTGGCTTTCATCCTTAGCCTGTGACCAGGGGCCTCTGCCTGGCACTCCTACCTCCAAGGAATGGGGGCGTGGAGTGTCACGGGGCCTGCCTGTCCCTCTGCCCCAGCCAGGACTCCAAGTCCTTTCCTCCCAAGAATTGGTTGTGCTCTCCACCACCCCCCTCCCTCCTTAGCGGTCCTATTCCCAACCATCCACAGTCATTTTGGCTCCATGATGGGCCACAGATTCGTAACACGTGAGGCCACGCTCAGCTTCAGCCCTCAGGGTTCTTCCTCACACCAGTGGCGTCACTGCTTATGGGAGCTGGAGACCTGGGCTTCATCCTTGAGGCCGACTGACCGTCCTAAGTTCCTGTGCATGGGCCTCTCCCCGGCCAGAGTCCTTCCTGCTGTCCTGCCTGGGGCCCTTCCACCACCTGCCAGCTCCGACCCAGCTGTCTTCCACCCTGCAGCCAGGGCCCCCTCAAGATACAAACTTGACCACACCTTTCCCTGCCAGCAGACCTTCCCGGATAAAGACCAAGCTGCCATACCAGGCGTTCCAGGCAAACCTTCCAGTGTGTTCTGGCTGAGCGGAGACTGAGGGGAGGAGCCAGCCTCGAGAAAGCTCATAGGAGATGGGGAGCACGGAGGGCCCCTCCATGCAGGCCTGTCCAGATCTAGAGGGGCTCGACTTCCCTGGCAGTCCAGTGGTTAAGACTCCGTGCTTCCTATGCGGGGGGCCCGGGTTCGATCCTGGTTGGGGAACTAAGATCCCACATGCCACGCAGTGCGGCCAGAAAATAAAAAATAAACCAATCTAGGGGAGCTGCACGTCTGAGCCCCAGGCCATCCCCTGCCTTGGAAGCCACCAGCCTGCAGGGGCCAGGGGGGAAAGTCCCATTCAGACTCAGCTCATCAGGCCCGTTCCACACTAGCTGTTCGCCAACCAACCGGGGATTCAGACGTGAAGCTGTCCCCCAGCCCCTCCGCCGCTCGCCATGTGGTGCGCGAGAGTGAGAAGCGATGAGGAAGGAAAGAGGAGGCACGCAGGGGCACCTGACCCACCTGGGATGCTGGGGGGCGAGGGGGTGGCCCCTGGCAGGGGGGTGCTCAGAGCCTCTTTCCCCCTGCTCTTTGCTCCAGCGACGGGGGCTGTGGCTGGTTCAGTGCACAGAGCAACACCGGCACGTGGGAGGAGCAGCGTCCCTGTTCAACGGATGAGAGTCCGAGGGGAAGGTGCCAGGAGGTCAAGGTCAAGTGAGCCAGATTCGGGGTTTGGTTCCAGTAGGGGCTTTCTTCCCTTCACAGTGAGGAAACCGAGGCACGGGATAGCCAAGTCACTTGCCCAAGGTCACCCTCCCAGCAAGTGGCAGGACAGGATTCACTCTTGGTCGGTCTGCCTGTCTGTAATCCAATATTGGCTACCTCGCAGAGGCTGTTTCCGCTTGGGGCAGTCCCGCGTCCTCAGGCCAGCGAAGTCCACGGGCTCCCCCTGGCGGCCGAGGCTCCCTCCTTCACCCTGGGTGCTGGCCCTGGCTGGAGACACTGGGTCCCCCTCCAGCCCGCTGCACCCACCCCACCCACGCCCCAACTTTGCCCGGGGTGGGGGGACTCCCTCCAGCCCGGCTCTCTTGGCATCGGGGCGCCTTCCCGGTCCCCCCACCCTGGAAGAGCTCACCCACTCACTGCTCCTAGACCGGGTCTCTCTACGTTGGCAAGGAATGTTCTCCGTGGAATTATGTCATTTGTGCCTGTAACTGTCTCCCCACCGGAGGAAGCCAGGAGTCCAGGGAGCGCACAGCCCCAGAACCCCACCAGCTGGGTTGCTTGGGGCAAGCACATTCACACTCGGACACGATTTTTATTCCGGCAACTCTGCTTTAGAAGAAGGGGACCAAGGGTTATCCAGCACGGGCACTGATGATAGCTAGTATTTTTTGAGCACTTGCTATGTCTTGGCTTGATTGCCTTATAGCTCTCATCGCATTTAATGATCTCAGACCCCGGCCTTCCTGCTCCCCCATCCCACCCATAGCTCGTCCCACACACCGAAGCCAGATCACCATGCCCTCCTGCCTAGATCCCTCCACTGGCTTCTCACTGCGATTAGGGAAGAAATCCAAACAGGGGAGCTGAGACCACATGTGGCCAGTGGGAGGCATTCATGCAAAGTCAGGGAAATGGGGGTTCCAGGTAGAGAGACCATGAACACAGAGCCCCACACGGGGAACAGAGGGGCGAGGGGGAGAGGGGAGGGGACAGGTTGGAGTCAAGGCCAGGGTGAGGAGGTAGGGGCCCAGGAGGGGTTTGGGCAGAGGAATGACATCATCCAATTTGGGGGTTAGATATTACCGCGCTGGGAATTCCCTGGCGGTCCAGAGGTTAGGCCACGGGGCTTTCACTGCCGCCTGGGTTCATTCCCTGGTAGGGGAACTACGTGGCCAAAAAAAAAATTTACTTTGTCGAGTGGAGTATGTACAGATGAGGTGATGTGCTGTCTGGGGTGCAGGAGGGGAGCTTGGTGGGTGTGTGGAGGGAAGACACATCATCGTATTGCTGAATATGGAAGATGCATGTAAGTTCATCGCAGGTCATCCGACCCCCTCTGTGTTTATGTATGTCTGGCAGTTCCCATAATAAAATGTTAGAAGAAGGGAAAGGAGGACAGTAGAGTTTGATTTAACTCTCTTAAGTGAAAGATCGCTCTGGTTGCAACCTGTGGGGGGAGTGGTAGATTGGGGGCAGTGTGTATGGGAGGCTGGGAAGCTGCTCCGCTCCCCGGGGGAGTGATGACATGGCCTGGACCAGGGTGTGCTCACAGATGGAGAGAAGTCCATGAACTTGGAGACAGGTTTTGGAAGCTGAGTCAGCAGGACTGCCACTGTTTCTTTACACACATCCCACACGCACAGAGCAGAAGCCGGGATGACCCCTGTGTTTTTGGCTTGATGACCTGGGATGCTGGTGATGTCATTTCCTGGAAGGTGGGGAGCTGTGAACCATGGCTCCTTGCACGTTAATTCATTTCATCCTGACTATGACCCTGTGAGATTAGTGCTCTCCTGACCATTCCCCCCACCACCACCACAGAGGGTACGCTGAGGCCCGGCGGATTAGTGATGCTGCCCCGCTTCACACAGCTGGCAGGGGGCAGATCCCGATTCACACCCAGGGATGCCACCCCGGTTTCCACACTCTTGCATGGAGGCTTCCCTGCCTCCCGATGGGGGGATGTGGGAGGACTTGGGGGTAGGAACGGGCAGGAAATAGAGTTCTTCTATGGATGTCCTGAGGCTGAGATGTCTGTTAGGTGTCAGGAGGACATAGGATATGAATCTGAAGTTCAGGAAGGTCCCCAAGGAGAGAAAAATCAGGAGCCATCAGCACAGAGACAGCCAGGGGCAGGAGGGGAGGAAGAGACGGAGGAGACCAACCTGGCCTCGCGGAGGAGGAGAGAGAAAGCGCGGCTTCTTCCGCCAAGAGAGTCCGAGAAAAGAGACTGTTTCGAGAAGGAGTGGACAACCCTGTCACCCAGACAAGAAAGGAACAAAGGAGTGGTGGCCACTTGTCCCAGGACGTCCCAGGTAGCCTCATGAGGGCGGTTTCAGCCGAGTCCAGTGGAGGAGGGTGGAGGAAGGCAGGCAGGTGAGCAAGTGGGCAGCAACCATGGCAACCATCACAAGAGGTTGGGGACCGGCGTAGGGCCAGGCAGTTGGTGGAGGTGGAGGGGGGACCAGGAAGGATTCTTTTTTTTTTTTTTGATTCCATGATTTTTAAAAAATGTTTATTTGTTGTCTTATTAGTCATCCATTTTATAAACATCAGTGTATACACGTCAATCCCAATCTCCCAATTCATCACACCACCACCCCCGACCCCCCACCGCTTTCCCCGCTTGGTGTCCATACGTTTGTTCTCTACATCTGTGTCTCAATTTCTGCTCTGCAAACCGGTTCATCTGTACCATTTGCTAGGTTCCACATATATGCGTTAATATACGATATTTGTTTTTCTCTTTCTGACTTACTTCACTCTGTATGACAGTCTCTAGATGCATCCACGTCTCTACAAATGACCCAATTTCGTTCCTTTTTATGGCTGAGTAATACTCCATTGTGTATATGTACCACAACTTCTTTACCCATTCATCTGTTGATAGGCATTTAGGTTGCTTCCATGACCTGGCTATTGTAAGTAGTGCTGCAATGAACATTGGGGTGCACATGTCTTTTTGGATTATGGTTTTCTCTGGATACATGCCTGTAGTGGGATTGCTGGGTCATATGGTAATACTATTTTTAGTTCCTCAAGGACCCTCCATACTATTCTCCATAGTGGCTATATCAATTTACATTCCCACCAACAGGGCAAAAGGGTTCCCTTTTCTCCACACCCTCTCCAGCATTTGTTGTTTGTAGATTTTCTGATGATGCCCATTCTGACTGGTGTGAGGTGATACCTCATTGTAGTTTTGATTTGCATTTCTCTAATAATTAGTGATGTTGAGCAGCTTTTCATGTACCTCTTGGCCATCTGTATGTCTTATTTGGAGAAATGTCTATTTAGGTCTTC